AAAAAATGGTACAATTTTGCGTCAAGCATCGAGTAAAATTTATTTTTCGTTTCTTTCTGCTTGGTAGTCTCTGTTGAATAGCGAAAATGAACAGGCGTCACTGACTAAAGGCGTGAACCCCCCATCGATACTGTAGCGCATTGATCGATGCCGACGATATTCGCCTTTCCCCTTCTGTCCATTGGCTTCCGCGAAGTATAAAGGTGGCCATTTATTGGTCATTAACAGCTTTTCGCTCCTACTACTGTCCACTTCCTCTGTCAGTGTTGACCGTAACCGGAGTCAGTGTGAGCTTCAGCAGAGTCTACTTCGCATTCTCCTGCTACCCCGGTGGACATCAGAGAGCATGGCAGGAATCAGGAAGGCGGAATGGAAAAATAGTCAGAGGAGAAGGCAATGACAGGGAGAGGGTCAAGTGGTACTAACAACGGTTGCAACAACGGAAGACGAAGTCAAAGACTAATGGTTATGCCAAAGTAGACTCCGGGTTGACTTTGCCTCTAAGCTCTTCCTATCGCTCCTTGTCGGACTGCGGATTTTCTGGAGTTCCCAGCGTTTCCCGATGGATTCACGACGCACACCTCATTGAGCATGCTATAAAGCCAAATAAAGATTACCATACTCTCCTGTCCTCTAAGGCATCAGTTGAGCGTTCATCTAATAGGAGGAGGACGTCCGCTTCTGTAAATCTTTCCAGAATGACTTCAATCTGAAGTAGACAGTAGAGCAGTTTGGACTTCCACCTGACACCCGTAGCTATTACAGTGATCAGTCATAACTGTTGTTTTTTTTACCTTCGCAGAAAAGTCAACAAATAATCGAGAAGAAGTCAGTGCTAGGTATACTGCAAATCCGAAGTCTTAAATCTGTTGACTGTGACGTGACGTCCTCCAACGACTGTATTCATTTGGCATGAAGTGATATAATATTATTCAAATTCAAATACTTTGTTGTACAGATAATTCATGGTTTTCAAAAGAAAGAAGTATGCGTAGAGCGATATTAATGAACAGTTATTATTGTGAAGCTTGGTTGTAAAACTCGTAAAATGCTCATCGTAACAGGTGACTCATGGAGTATCTCATGCCGCGAAGCTATATCCGAACTCATACATCGTGCAAGTACTAGTGGGTACGGCGAAGGGTGCTGGATCAGGAATTCTTAGGACGATTGAACAAGTTAGTTCACTTATTTGCCCTCGTCGACTTCATCATTATTGAAATACTTTTCCAGTTGATACGTGGTGTGTGGCTGCCTAATCATAACGAAGCGCTTCGTCCGTCATTCGCGACGAAGGCCTGCCTTCTTGCCTCGATCATATTTGTCTTGGAGAAAAGCAGTATATATATTACAGCACCCCATGATCTGGTCTACTTGGTAAATTCATTTTATGCATCAACAATGCTCACTGAGTAGTTTTGAAATCGAACAAAACTTTTACTGGTAATCATTTTGGGTTGTAAATACATTGGCAGTTGTTCATCACTGACTGGAGCTTCTCCGAAAAATTGAAAATATTTAGGGTGTGGTCGGCTTCCTGGTGTACTTCAAACTTTCTGCTCTTTTCCTTAATGTCACGGATCCATTTGCTCCTATTGAAAACTTGTTCTGTGCAGTCTTTATGGGAGGCATTTGGGACGCACTGTCAAGGTATTTTCCATTGCTTTTATCAAAAGAGATTCGTTGTCGCAGTTAGCAAAGTAAGGACGATTAGTGACAAAGTTAAGCTGTAATTCTTTATTCCATTTTGTACAAAAGGTAGAAAATCATCTATTTATCTCCGTGAATGCATGAGATTGTGAGAAACAGATTAAGACCGTTGTTAGTTATGCTCATGACCAGATGTTGTTATGATTTGTGGGTCGAACGGTTTTAGAGAGACGCTCAAGAGATAAACCTCAAGGTTAGAAACAATTGCATGATAAAGTTGGCATTTCAACCCCTATCTGAATTGCATGACCCTAAAATCGCTTTCTACACATCGGAGTCTTTGAATCGTTTACAACAACCTCCTTGAGGTGTGAGTTCGCATGAGGTGTCTGACGAAATCCTTTGGCCCTACGTATGACAGTTTCTTGGAGAAATGTCTGGTTATATGGCATGGAACTACTTGAGAGAACAAGATGCTCATTGTTGATCAATTTTTTTGCAGTTTGCTGAAGTCTCAATTTCATCTGGCGCTTTTCAGATTAAGCAGCCATTTTTGGAATAGTCAGTTAATCAAAATTTGCATTCTAGTTTCCGCAATCACTGTTGTGCAGTAATCGTTTCCAAAGCAATCTCCTCTTGTCCACGTTCCGTAGGCAGATTCGATCCTAGGGCCCTTTCATACGCGCACCTGGTTCCTGGTTAATATCACGTTTTCATTCTGAAGTTTTTTTTTTT